ACCACTTCTTGGATGACAGGGAGAGGGCATTGCTGATGTCTAGCTTGGAGAAGTTAGAGAAAGGGTATACAGGAAACCTCAGAAATGTTTCCAAATATTCCCAAAGTTACACACAACAGAAGGAACACATCTTTTCCATGGTGGCCTCGTGGGCAGAGATAGCAAGAACCAAGGAGTAGAAATTGTAGGGAAATTTCACTTTCACACAAAAAGCAACTTTTCCACAATTGCAGTTGCCTTCAGATAGATAACTAACTGTGAATGGCAGAAAATCTCTCCAAAACCCTGAAATCTGCTAAATCTAGACACAGTCAAGCAAACACTTGCTGAGAAACCCAGGAATGCCTTAGAGGAATTCCAGGGAAGGAGGCCGACTGGGTCCTTTTCCAGCTTGTCCTCATCTCCGGAAGCTTTTTTTGGATCAAAGTTGTAAGCAGAATGAGGACAGGGACCATGGCAATTATAACATATGCATCCCTATCTACCCAGAGCTCAAGAAACAACCCTTAAGTGAGCAAATAAATGGAAAACACCCTTTCTATAGATAGGATAGTGCAGGGCAAGGACATAGCTGCTGGATCCAGGCTGCCCTAGACTTGAATTTACCTCTGCCAACCACCAGATCTGAGGCCTTGGTCCAGCTCCCACACCTTCTGTCCCTTTTTCCTACTGTACAATGGGTCCAGTGATACTACCCACTTTATCGGGGTTAAGTGAAATGTTCTTTTTTTTTTTTTTTTTTGAGACAGAGTCTTGCTCTGTTGCCCAAGCTGGAGTGCAGTGGTGCAATCTCAGCTCACTACAACCTCTGCCTCCTGAGTTCAAGCGATTCTCCTGCCTTAGCCTCCTGAGTTGCTGGGACTACAGGTGTGTGCCAGTACACCTGGCTAATTTTTTGTATTTTTAGTAGAGCCAGAGTTTCACTGTGTTAGCCAGGATGGTCTTGATCTCCTGACCTGGTGATCCACCTGCCTCAGTCTCCCAAAGTACTGTGTTTATAGGTGTGAGCCACCACACCCAGCCTAAATGAAATATTCTGAGTAAAGGCCTTAGGACAGAGCTGGGAGAAAAATGTAGTGTTCAGTGACTATTAGCCCTTCTTTTTTGTTTCATTTTCAAATGTCTTCTTCTTTGCCCATCTCCCCATAGCCCTCAGACTGTGCCCTTCTGGAGAGCAAGTCTTCTGTGTTATGCACCTTCATTTCTGCAGTCCCGATACCTGCAAGGTGTTTCATGGGGGTTTCCTGAATGCACACATGAGTAAATGAGGGACAGATGGATAAGAAGAGAGACTGCCCTGCTATGTTCCAACTCAGTTGGAATCTGTCTCTGGGATTCTTGGATTTTTTTTTCTCCTGAAAAGCCTGAAACAACTCTGATTTATCTAGTTTTATTGTTCATTTTGTTCTCCTACTCTGTAGTGTGGGCTAGAGGGACATTCACTCTAATGGGACTCCACCACCAGGGATCAAGGTCTTCAATACTGAAGGCTGTCATCGAAGCATGCCATCACACCTAGGGAACTGCTAGCCAGACTCTCCTATGAATGTAATGGTTAATTTTCAATAATTGGTTACTCACTGATTAACGAGTCTTAATTAGCTTCCTCTCTGATTTACCTTGGATCCTGACCTCCCGAAGTAGGGTAGTGTCAGGTACGTGTCACTGTTGAACAGCAACCATGGAACAGTCTTCTATTTAGATCCTAAGTGCTCTGAGCTCTTAGCCGGGGAAGTTGGTGATTCTGTTTAGTGGGACTGTTTTTCTTTGTTTCTCTTGAAGTAGAGATGCAATGTGAAAACTTTATTCATGCAAGAACGAGGCATGTCAAGGAAGAAAAACGTGAAATGTGGTGGGAGAACACTGGGTGTCCTTGCAGTCCCTCCCCATGTGATAACGATGGCAGTGTAGCTGTAGGTGGCAGTGCAGCTGTAGATGGTAGCATGACTGCAGATGGCAGCATGAACGTAGATGTTAGCACCACTGTAGATGGCAGTGTGGCTGTAAATGACAGTGCGACTGTAGGTGGTAGTGCGGCTATAGATGGCAGCATGGCTGTAGGTGGTAGTGTGGCTGTAGATGGCCATGCAACCATAGGTGGTAGTGTGGCTGTAGATGGCAGTGCAACTGTAGATGGCAGTCTGAAGATGGCAGTGCAGCTGTAGATGGTAGTGCGACTGTAGATGGCAATGCAGCTGTAGAGTAGATGGTAGTGTGACTGTAGGTGGCAGTGTGGGTGTAAATGACAGTGTGGCAGTGTGACTGAAGATGGCAATGCAACTATAAATGGCAGTGTGACTGTAGATGGCAGTGCAGTTGTAGATGGTAGTATGACTGTAGATGGTAGTGTGACTGAAGATAGTAATGTGACTGAAGATGGTAGTATGACTGTAGGTGGTAGTGTGACTGTAGATGGTAGTGTGACTGAAGATAGTAATGTGACTGAAGATGGTAGTATGACTGTAGATGGTAGTGTGACTGAAGATGGTAGTGTGACTGTAGATGGTAGTGTGACTATAGATGGTAGTGTGACTGTAGATGGTAGTATGACTGTAGATGGTAGTGTGACTGAAGATGGTAGTGTGACTATAGATGGTAGTGTGACTGAAGATGGTAGTGTGACTGTAGATGGTAGTGTGACTGAAGATGGTAGTGTGACTGAAGATGGTAGTATGACTATAGATGGTAGTGTGACTGAAGATGGTAGTGTGACTGTAGATGGTAGTATGACTGTAGATGGTAGTGTGACTGAAGATAGTTATGTGATTGAAGATGGTAGTATGACTGTAGATGGTAGTGTGACTGTAGATGATAGTGTGACTGTAGATGGTAGTGTGACTGAAGATAGTAATGTGACTGAAGATGGTAGTATGACTGTAGTTGGTAGTGTGACTGAAGATGGTAGTGTGACTAAGGATGGTAGTGTGACTGTAGATGGTAGTGTGACTGAAGATGGTAGTATGACTATAGATGGTAATGTGACTGAAGATGGTAGTATGACTGTAGATGGTAGTGTGACTGAAGATGGTAGTGTGACTGTAGATGGTAGTGTGACTATAGATGGTAGTGTGACTGTAGATGGTAGTATGAGATGGTAGTGTGACTGAAGATGGTAGTGTGACTGTAGATGGTAGTGTGACTATAGATGGTAGTGTGACTGTAGATGGTAGTATGACTGTAGATGGTAGTGTGACTGAAGATGGTAGTGTGACTATAGATGGTAGTGTGACTGAAGATGGTAGTGTGACTGTAGATGGTAGTGTGACTGAAGATGGTAGTGTGACTGTAGATGGTAGTGTGACTGAAGATGGTAGTGTGACTATAGTGCCTCAGGTCTGAGCACCTAACATTTCCACACTAAACAAGGAAGAGGGTTGGCTGCATGAGACTGCAGAATAGAAGTGGAATAGAAAGCTTTTATTTCATCTGGCCAGCCTGCCCTATATCCATGGGGTTACATTGACATGAACTGGGACTTCCAAGCAGGCCCAATCGCCATAAACCTTAGCAGCTGGGTTTCCTACTGATTTGAACAGCAACTTGGATTTTGTCATTATTTAATTCAAAAGAATAGGAGTGAATTGGGTCAGTCACGTAGGTGTTCTATGTTCTGATGCAGCCTGTCCTGGCGAAACCATCAGTCTGTAACTCTCTCAACACAACTCTGAGATTCAGCATTGATTGGGTCACTGGGACCAAGGGTCACTGATTCCTTTTGCAGCCTGTGATTTTTAGACAGAATGCCTGCTGTACTCTTAGCCTCCTTAAATGTTTAGTAAGATCTCTGTCTAATGCTCTCCTCGTACTAAACCTGGGTTTTCAGTTCCTTCCAGGTCTCTGTGGAAAACTGAAGATTCATGTGCACTTTCAGAAAAGAGGTTCCAAGGAAAAGGGCAGCCATTTAGTTTTCACAAGTCTGGGCAATGAGCGATTTCGAGCTTCCATCCTTGGCTGACATCATGAACACCAGTGCTGCTGGCCTCTATCACAAGAACGGTGGGACTTCGTGCTTAGCCTTCCTGGGGAAGGGCCTGTCCCTGGGTCATGTCCCCACTGACCACAGGAGGAAGAGATGGCGTGAGGATCGTGGGGGGCCTGGCTCTGCGTCCACTCATCTCTGTGTGGATGCCTCCTGTCTCCCGGGTGATAACTGGTCACCCGAATGTGTCCTTGGCATAATTCCTGGCTTCTCCTGCTGCTTGATAACCCCTCTGGCTGCACGGAGCCCAGGACGGAGAAGGAGCGGCCTCATTCTCCCGGGGGGATGCAGGCTGAGACCACCCATTCTCTGGATCAGAGTTTCGTGTGGGAGAGGTCCCTCCAGGGAAGGACAGTGAGCTGACACTGTGACATTGCTCAGGATGGAGGCCCAGGGCAGACAGCATCACCAGCTGCCACAGGAGTCGGGTTTCCAGAGGGGCTGTGTCACCAGCCCTGGGGACGCCACGTCGATGTGCCTTTTGACACATTCCTGTGGAGTGTCTGAGGAAAAACAGGGCACACGCATTCCTGATAAGATTGCACCAAATGGCCAGGGCGGGGGCTCCCAGCCTCCCTCTGTCTCAGTTGGGGGCAGAGGGGCAGGGACAGCCAGGAGAAGGCCGAGCCAGATGCTGCTGGGTTCCCCCAGGACTCCGCCCCACTGACGTCTTAGTTAAACTTCTTCACCTGAGCCTCTCTTATGGCGTGGTTGAGTCACACATGAGAGGTTATTTTCTGCCTGGAGGGGCTCTTCTTATGGGAGAACAGGGGCGCGAGGTGTGTGGTGTGACTCTCAGGGATGCGTCTGGACTCTATCATGTCTGAGTGTCCCCAGGGCCAGAGCACGGGGGGCAGGAGGCTGTGGTTTATCAAGCACCTTCTGCCAGCTGAGGCCGTGACTTTGTGTCCCTCCCTGGAGAAGGCTTTAAGGTCAGCCTCTTCTTCCTTTGGTCCTGAGCTTGCCCTGTCTCCTCCTCATTCCCCATGTCCACATGAAAGGGCAGTGTTCACAGGTGGGTTGGTCTGAGATTGAAATAGCAAGGCCTGGGATTTTCTGTTTGAGTAGCCCCCTCGAGTCAGCCTCAGAGGAGCCCAGACCTCCTGGATGGCTTTCGGTGAGCCTCCCAGTGGGCACGGCACTCGCCACCAGATGCTGCATGGACTCAGCTTCCACATTGCCACGGGTACGACCTGGTCCTTGCACTACCAGGGGCAACGAGGGACGCTATGCCTGGTGGGGTGAGTACTCTATCTCAAGACAAAGCAGTTCTCCAGTGTCTGCCCCACTTTTCCATAAACCTGGGAGTCCAGCCCAGTGCATTGGCTGAAAGGAGAGGAGACGCCTCCTGCTCCAGCTCAGGGCGCTCTGCGGACCCCACTGCCTGCCCCAACCCTGGTGCTCCGGGGGGCCCCAGTGCCATAGATGTGCTTCAGGGGGAGCAACTGGGGCTGTTCCAGAGGACCAAAATGGGCAGAGACCCTAAAGATATCCATGGATTGACCCCTGCTCTCTGTGGTCCCTGCCTGGCTGGCCTCCCCTCTTCACACTCTCCACAGTTCTCATGCAATGCAGCACCTCTAAAAATGCTGTCCTAAAAATGTGTGCTTTGAAACAGCAGTTTCCTCCTCTCCGACCAAGTTCGGGCCCCTTCTACCCTTCAGTGGCTGTAGGCAGTTGGTGAGGGCCCTGGATGGGGTGGGCCGGGGGCAGGGCAGGGCACTGTGGGCTCCGGGCAGACACACCAACCTGTTGTGTTTGGAGATGCACCTGGGAGTGTGCTGACATCTGTGTGGAGGACCACGGGTCTGTTCATCCCCCACTGGCTGCATCCCGGGAGGCTGCAGCATGTACTATTCAGCCCCCACACCGCAGTTATTCTTGTATCTGCCTCATCGCTGGCCTTGCTGCCCATGACTCCCTCAGGTCAGCCCCACGTCTCTGTCAAACTTTCCCTCCACAATTCTGCGCAGCCTGTAAATGCTTAAAAAACATTGCAGAACAGGTGAGTCACATTACAGAAAGGAAGCAACCTGGAAAAGCGCAGACATTCCCTCCCCTTCTGCACCTGTTAAAGTAAGGGAGGGGCATAAGGGGGGTGGGACCTGCACAAGGTGCAGCTGATGGAAATGTAGTCTTTGGGAAAAGCCCTGGCTCTGAAATGGCAAAGGCCGCGTGCCTGGGAAAAAGAAAAATGTGTCTGATCCAGAGACGGCTGCCCTGCCCCAAAGGCTGTCACGCTGACATCCAGTTATCTCTTCTGCAGTGACAGAATGGGCTTGACCTAAAAATTCAGTGACAGAAAAATGTCATCTAATGCTGCTTAGCGAAGTCGGGCGGTCAGCAGATGAGGGCAGAAGGCCGCTGGTCTTTGACAGAACTCGTGGACGGCGAAATAACAAAACAGAGTTCAGGCTGCATTGTCAGCAACAGAGACAAACAATTCGTCCAAAATAAACAAGTGAGCTCCCAGCAGAAGCCTGTGAAGTCTCCCGTTCTGCTCAAACCACACACATGTGGCCCGCAGAGGAGCCTGCAGAGGCCCCCGGGGCACTCAAGAGGCGGAGCGTGAGACCCAGGCCACCGGCTGTCCTCCCTGTCAGAACAAAAGGTTCACAGAAAGGGCCAGGAGGACACAGCGAGGGGAACCGAATGCCAACGGCATTTCCGGGATCTTTTGCACCATAGTCTAAACATTTAGAGGAAGCACCACGAGTTTGCTGCCCTGGAAGCCGACGTGCTCCCCAGACACAAGAGGCAGGACTGGAGGCCTTGTCCGACAGCTTGAGAGGCTGTGTTGGGACACATCCAGGAAGGAAGCCTTCAGAGACACAGAACCTGGCTGACTTACACACCCGCTGTCTAAAGACGGGGTGCTGGCTGGTGAACTCGAGCGACTCACGACAGACCCGGAGTGAAAGTCATGGGTCTGTACCTGTGTGGGGTCCTCCACGGCTGGGCTCACAGAGACGGAGCTGGACTGCACTGTGCATTAGCTGGAAGGAGAGGAGCCACTGTGAGTCCTGGCTCACGGCGCTCTGCCCACCCCAGTGCCCACCCCAAACCTGGTGCTCCAGGGGCCCCCCCCATGCCACAGACACACATCAGGGGGTCCACTGGGGCTGTTCCCAAGGACCAGGAGGGACAAATGCCCTAAAGATGCCCATGGTTTGACCCCTGCTCTCTGCAGGCCCTGCCTGGCTGGCCTCCCCTTCTCACACTCTCCACAGTCCTCATGCAACGCAGCACGTCTAAAAAGGCCGTCCTGAAAATGTGCACTTTGGGGAAAAACAGCTTCCTCCTCTCTGAGTGGAGAGGGCTGGCCCAATGGGGTATGATTTTCATTGCGGTAAAATGTGCATCACGTAACACTGGGGCCCTTGTCGCCGTTTTTAATTGTACACTTTGGAGGCATTATGTGCGTTCATCGTCACCACCTTCCACCCACAGAGCTTCTTCATCTTCCCAAACGGAAACTCTGCCCTCAGTAAACCCTCCCTCCCCTCCCGCAGCCCCTGGCACCTGCCTTCTCCTTCCTGTCTCCGTGAACCTGTCAACTCTTTGGACCCCACCTAAGTGGAGTTGGACAGGATTTGTTCTCAGTGACTGGCTCATGTCACTCAGCAGCCGGAAGGCTCATCCGAGCCACAGCCTGTCCCAGAATCTCCCTCCCTCTAACGCTGGTTAATATCCTGCTGCACAGAAAAATCAAACAGGATGATAGTTTGATACCCAAAATCCACTTGAAAATTGGTAAGAAAATGGGTCTGGCCATGTTTTGCTTATTTTCCCCACAGTCTCTCCTGACCCCGTGTTGCGTCCTAGTGCACAGTGTGCACAAACTCACAGGTTTGTGGCAATGAAACCTTGTATTTCCAGTGTCGGAGGAGAAGGGGCTTCTGGGGGAGGTCCTGAGCCTCCTGCTGCCTGGAAGGTCTTCCAGTGTCAGATCCCCGGCAGGTACTCACCCAGACAAGCGCGTCCCCACCTCCGAGAAGGGGCAGTGTCAGGAGGGGCCCTGGGTCCTGTAGTTCAACCAATCCTGACACTGTCCACCTGGAATGAGTGCCAGACCCACAGGTTGAGGGCTCAGTCCCACGAGAAGGCCCCCACTTCAGGTGCCAATCGCAAGCCCCTGTATCTCTGACCGGCTGGCTCTATGTACATCAGGGTTCCTAAGACCATCTCCTTGGGTTTGGTTAATTCGCTAGCTCGGCTCACAGAACTCGGGGAAATGCTTGACTTATGTTTACCCCTTTATTGCAAAGGGCACAGATGAACGGGCCAATGAAGCAATGTGTAGGTGAGGGCTGGGGGAGGGGGTGAAGCTTCCCTGCGCTCCGCAGGCGCCACCCTCCACAGGGCCAGCTACCCTGAGGCTCCTCTATCCCAGTCTTCTTGGGTTTTTATGGAGCCTTCATTACAGAGCTGTGATTGATTACATCATTGGCCATGGGTGACCAACTCAGCTTCGGCCCCAGTTGTCCTCCTGGAGATTGGGGTGGGCCTGAATGTTCCCAGTGGTCATACGGGGAGAATGACATGCATGTACACAAGCGACACACGGTGGGTGCCACTTGTACTTCAAATGCATCTACTTGTTTTATTCTCATCACAGCCTCAAGAGGGAGGGCATTATTATTACTATGTCCATTTTACAGCTGAGGCACAGAGAGGTTAAGTCAGTTGCCCAGTGTCACACAGCCAATGAGAAATTCTTCAAATTACAGGCCCAGGGGGTGGTGACCAGGTGAGCAGAGCAGAGAATCCAGGACGGTGGCCAGAGGCAGGAGCAGAGCTGGGGAACAGGCATCAAGCTCACATTTCCAGCACCTCTGTGTGTGTGCACGTGTTATGTATGTGTGTGCATGTGTATGTGTGTAATTGTGAGCACACACATGTGTTTGCATATCTGTGTGTGTGTGCACACACTACCCCTTTAAATTCCAGGATCTGAACCATGGTGGCTTGGGGGACGGGGATCAGCAGTGGAGGAGGAATCCAACCTATGTGTTGTACATTTTGAAGGAAACTAAGCTTGCAAGATTCAAATGAAACACAGAAGTCCTTTTCTCCTCAAATCCTCATGCTCAGTGTCAGCTGGACTTTGGATAAACTTCAGAGAAGAATTTAAGCTGAAACTTCCACAGTTCCCGAGGTTCCCAATCACTCATGTTTGTGTGGGAGGCTATTCGTTCTCTGAAGGAGACGTGATTGAAGAGGCTATGGAGGGCCAGGTTGTGGAACCCATCACCAGGCTCCCACGCAGAGGCCATCGCGGCAGCACTTCCCACAAACACAGGCAGGAAACATAGGCTCCCGAGGGCTCTGCATGCAGGTCAGAGGGTGCGGGGGAGGAGGGGCCTTGGGATAATAAAGGCCTTTTCCTGAAGCAGCTGCAGGCAAGTGTTTGCATAAATTAGACAGTGGTAGTGAGAATTACAGCAGCATGCCCTTCAGAATCTAACAGCTTCCCTTATTTTGAACAAACAAGAATGCTGGTAAAGGCTATTTTCTCTGCCTTTCTGTACAGTGCTCAGTCGGGCAGTCTGAGCCGGCCTGATCTTCTCTCAGAAACACACACACATGTGCACAGACATGCACACACACACACACGTCTACATGCACACAGAAGTATACACATGTGCATACATGTAAACACGGGAAGACATTTGTGCACACAAGCACGCAATACACACATGCCTGTGCACACACGTATGCAAATATGCAAACACATGTGCTCACAAGTACGCACATATGCATGCGCACACATGTACATAACACGTGCACACACACAGAGGTGCTGGAAGTGTGAGCTTGAAGCCTGCTCCCCAGCTCTGCTCCAGCCTCTGACCACCGTCCTGGATTCTCTGCTCTCCTCGCGTGGTCACCTTCCCCTGGGCCTGTTCCCCAGTTTCTATCTGGGCTTCTCTTCTTCACATAGACTCTAGAATCAATCTGCACCCTGACAGCAAGTTGCTCCTGACTCCATGTCAGTGGCCATTTCCCAGGTTCCGGTTTGTCTGAGACACGTCTGTTTGGGCACACTGTGACCTCATGATTGTATTCACAAGAGCCTGGTGGTATCTGTGGGCCACATTATCCCTGTCTGAAAGGCACGGCTAGATTCGTAGAGACGTCTTCCCTGTAATGGTGTGGTAGGCGTGGTTCTAGAATCCGGGCACATGGACTGTCCTCTCCCGAGACTGGAAAGGGGTCCCATGGCAACAGGTTGTACATCATGGCAGTGCGTGAAGTACCTGGCTTTAAGCTCATTCAAAAAGGGGATGGCCCCATGTAAAGGGAGATCAGCTGGCAACCTCAGTGCTCCCTGAAATGTTAGTCACTGACTCCAGAAAGGGATGGGCAGGGACCCGAGGGAGAAGTGTTGACTTTGTCACAGCCGCTCTTCCTTGGTTGTTACCAAACATGGCAAACGCCTGGCATGGCTCTCCCACAGACCTGGCAGGAGTCACTGATGTATTTCGCTCCACATTTTCCATGCCAGGCAGGGCTAGGGCAATCTCTGACTCTCTTTTCATTCTCACATCTGACGTGCTCCCGGAGACACTCAACCCTCAGCGTCCTGCACCTGCCAGCTCTAGAGATAACGTGCGTTTCCAGCAGAGGACACGCTGGAGGATGCACCGGCCACAGGAGGGAGGCGGATGTTTGCCGCATTCCAGGGCAGCGTCACTCCGTGGAGCTCCAGTTCAGACCGAAGGTTCAGGCGTGACTAGGAGGAGCCTCCCCGTCTGCCACACACAAGCCATCCAGGCGCAACCTTTTATCTTCATATGGGACTCGGCTTCTCAGCTTTGCAGAGCCCCCATAACATTGCTAAGCGAGTCAGTGCCAGGATTTTGGTTTCAAGGCCAGGATTTTGGTGCAGTTGAGCCTTCATAACCTCACCAGGTTTTTTCTTTTGGTTCACGTTTCACAACTTTCATAGAATATTTTAACTATTCCATACAAAGTGAAAACAGTGCGTTCAGTTACAAATGTGTTCTAAGGTTAGGCTGAGCACTCTCCACAGGCCTGGTCAGTGTGGACACGGTGTTCCTGGCTGCCAGAGAGCGCTGTCACCCACTTGGAAACCCCACCCACCAGCTGCCAACCAGTCACTCACACCCAGGACCTTCAGACGGAAGAATGGTGGGTACAAGGCCATGGGATAAGTGCATCCCATGGGGTCTGCTATTGAGGAGGCTGCTGAGACGTGGCCCTGAGAAGTGAGTGCCCCGAGTGAGGAAAAGCCTCTGGCCTCCTCAGGTATTGTAAACGGTCTTCGACTCGACAGAGGGAGACGGCGCAGCAGCAGGATCGGACACTCTTGGCTTGAATGTGGGTCAAACCCAGGCCCGAGCCCTGCCACATAGCCTGGGTGAGCACGACTTGCTTCATCACCTGTGTGTTTCTTTTCTTTCTTTGTTTAAATCTGTCTGATATACAGAAAGGAGAAGCAGGAGCTTATTTATAAAATGCAACAAGGAAGGAAAAGCTTGGAGTGAGATGAAGCAGAAAAACATAGCAGGGACAACCTAGAGGCCCACCGTGAGTAGAAATGTGCACATCGGAGGGACGTTCACACACGGCATGCGCTGGCTGCTGGGTTGGTTCTGCTAACATTTCTCAGCACCTGCACAGAAAGGGGAATGGTGAAGTATCCCATTTACGGTATCAGTGCTGTAAAAACAAATCTCTCGCGCCAGGAATTTTTAGTTGTTCCCGGTTAGGACAGAAGAGGCTTCCCTGAGGTTTTCTCACCTGAAGGTACGACTGTTACTTTCCTCAAGGCCTTGGGAGAAGCAACCGTTGGTGAAGTGTCAAGCACGGCACCTTGGAAAATGGCGATTCATGGAAATTGGCATCCTTTTCCCCTCGTATTACTCCTAGGGAACCTGACCAATGAGGAGGTTAAAGTTCACAGAAATTAACCAGTCACCAGCCTGAGGCAGAATCCAGAATGGCTCCAGAGCCTCTGCCTCTCCCCCAGGCTCCACTATGATGGCGACACCAAAACAGGCAGCAGCAAAAGCATCACTGACGTCATGAGGTCACCCTGCCGGTGAGGGACACTCTCAAAGCACACTCATCTAAAGGAACCGGTGTCTTAGAGTACACAGGTCAATAAGAAAGCACTAAAGAGTCTGGCTTGGTCCATTTTGTGCTGCAGTTATAGAAGCAGCACAGACTGGGTCATTGATAAATAAGAATGTATTTGGCTCATGATTCTGGAGCCTGGGAAGTCCAAGGGTATGGTGCTATGGTGCTAGCCTTGGATCAGTCATCTGGTGAGGGCCTTCTTGTTGCACCAGCCTGTGGTGGAAAGTAGAAAAGCAAGAGAGCCCATGGGGCTGAGAAAAAGTGGGAGCTGAATGTATTCTTTTATTAGTAGTTCTTTCCCGAGATAACAGCATTAACCCTTCCTCTTAATACTGTTGAATGGCCTTTAAATTTCAGTGTGGGCTTTGGAAAGCAGAATTTAAGCCACAGCAGAGGTCAAGTGTCCATGTAGGCAGCACTTACCTGAATGGACATTTTTTACCGTCCAGACTGGGCTTGAGAATCAATTCAGGGCCCCTCTCCCGAAGAGAAAGGGGAGAAGGTAGAGAGGAAGCCCCGCAGGATTCCTGCTGTCTGGACCTCACCATCTCCTAGAGACGTGCACCTCCATTTGCAGGAGCATGAAGGTGAGTCAGTGTGACAATCCAAGACAGAGAAAGGGTTGCAAGGTGTAAACTACCTCCAATACGTGAAGGCCGACAAACTACTCCACCTCAGTCTGAAGGTAACGGAGACTCGGAATAACCCAGCCCAGAAGGGGAAAGGAGACTTCAAAGTGCCATCCCCCAAAATAGGTGCAAATGAAATGCAGACTCAGAATCAAGTTTTAGGGAAACACACCACCTGTGCCAGCTGAATGTCTATAAATTGCATGCAATGTTTTCAAATCAGTCATCTGGCCATTGAATGCTCTAATGAGAATTTATAATAATTCAGTAAAGGCAACCTTTGAGGTGAGGAGGAAAAACAAGTCTGTGGTTTTAAAAGAAAATCCTATTAGAAGCAGTTAATGAAATTGAATTGAGACTTGAAAGTCACAGTATTTATAAAGTGCCTACTGTGTGTCAAGGACTTGCTAAGTAGGCCAGGCATGGTGGCTTATGCCTGTAATTCCAGCACTTTGGGAGGACAAGGCAGGTGGATCACCTGAGGTCAGGAGTTCGAGACCAGCTTGGCCAACATGGGAAAACTGTCTCTACTAAAAATACAAAAATTAGCTGGTCATGGTGTTGTGTGTGTGTGTATCTACATGTGTGTGCTACTGGAGATAGTGTGTTGTGTGGTGATGGAGATGGCGTGTGTGTGTTGATGGAGATCGTGGGTGTGTGGTGATGGAGGTGGTGTGTATTGTGTGTGTGTTGATGGAGATGGTGTGTGTTGTGTGTGTGTGTCTGTGTGTGTTATTGGAGATGGTGTGTTGTGTGGTGATGGAGATGGTGTATGTGTGTGTTGAAGGAGATGGTGGTGTGTGTAGTGATGGAGGTGGTGTGTGTCTGTGTGTGTGTTATTGAAGATGGTGTGCTGTGTGGTGATGGAGATGATGTGTGTGTGTGTATTCATGAAGATGGTGTGTGTTGTGTGTGTCTGTGTGTGTGTTGATTGAGACGGTGTGTGTGTGGTGATGGAGGTGGTGTGTGTTGTGTGTGTGCCTGTGTTGATGGAGGTGGCGTGTTTGTGTTGATGAAGATGTGTGTCTGTGTGTGTGGTGATGGAGGCAGTCTGTGTGTGTGTGTGTGTTGATGGAGATGGTTTGTTGTGTGTGTGTCTGTGTGTTGATGGAGATGGTGTGTTGTGTATTGATGGAGATGGTGTGTGTGTGTGGTGATGGAGGTGGTGTGTGTTGTGTGTGTCTGTGTGTGTGTTGATGGAGATGGTATGTTGTGTGTTGATGGAAACGGTGTGTGTGGTGATGGAGATGGTGTGTGCTGTGTGTGTGCCTGTGTTGATGGAGGTGGCATGTTTGTGTTGATAGAGATGGTGTGTCTGTGTGGTCATGGAGGTGGTGTCTGTGTGTTGATGGAGATGGTGTGTTGTGTGTGTGTCTGTGTGTTGATAGAGATGGTGTGTTGTGTGGTGATGGAGGTGGTGTGTGTTGTGTGTGTCTGTGTGTGTGTTGATGAAGATGATGTGTTGTGTGTGTCTGTGTGTGTGTTGATGAAGATGATGTGTTGTGTGGTGATGGAGGTGGTGTGTGTTGTATGTGTTTGTGTGTATTGATGGAGATAGTGTGTTGTGTGTTGATAGAGATGGTGCGTGTGTGTGGTGATGGAGGTGATGTGTGTTGTGTGTGTCTGTGTGTGTGCTGATGGAGATGGTGTGTTGTGTGGTGATGGAAATGGTGTGTGTGGTGATGAAGGTGGTGTATGTTGTGTGTATTTCTGTGTGTGTGTTGATGGAGATGGTATGTGTGTGTGTTGATGGAGATGGTGTGTGTGTGTGTGTTGATGGAGATGGTGTGTGTGTGTTGATGGAGATGGTGTCTGTGTGTGTTGATGGAGATGGTGTGTGTGTGTTGATGGAGATGGTGTCTGTGTGTGTTGATGGAGATGGTGTGTGTGTGTTAATGGAGATGGTGTGTATGGAGATGGTGTCTGTGTGTGTTGATGGAGATGGTGTGTGTGTGTTGATGGAGATGGTGTCTGTGTGTGTTGATGGAGATGGTGTGTGTGTGTTAATGGAGATGGTGTGTGTGTGTTGATGGAGATGGTGTGTGTGTGTTGATGGAGATGGTGTGTGTGTGTTGATGGAGATGGTGTGTGTGTGTTGATGGAGATGGTGTGTGTGTGGTGATGGAGGTGGGGTGTGTCGTGTGTGTGTTGATGGAGATGGTGTGTTGTGTGTGTGTTGATGGAGACGGTGTGTGTGTGTGTGTTCGTGGAGGTGGTGTGTATTGTGTGTGTGTTGTGTGTGTGTGTTGATGGAAATGGTGTGTGTGTGGTGATGGAGGTGGGGTGTGTTGTGTGTGTGTGTTGATGGAGATGGTGTGTTGTGTGTGTTGATGGAGACGGTGTGTGTGTGTGTGTTGATGGAGGTGGTGTGTGTTGTGTGTGTGTCTGTGTGTGTGTGTTGATGGAGGTGGCGTCTGTGTGCTCTCATGTGTGTGGGATGAGGGGTTAGGAGTGGGCTTTGCAGGACCTTTCCGGGGATGGCCGGCCAGGACCCTTCTTGGTGTGGGCCGCCTGCAGTGGAAGGTGTGGCCTGGGGCGGCTCTGGCACTTGCTTGGCCTCTGGACACACCATTTCCATGAACACACACCACCATCTCCATCCCCACACACACACCATCTCCAACAACACACATACACCACCTCCATCAACACACACACACAGAGACACGCACAATACACACTATCTGCATGAGCACACACACAACACACACCATCTGCATGAACACACACACACACCATCTCCATCACCACACAACACACCATCGCCAATAACACACTCGTGGCTCTGAGCTCAGCTCCTCTGCACCTTCTGTCCGCCCTCCGTCTCCTTCCCTCAGGCAAAGGACAGGGGCTGGTCTGTCTGTCCTGTGGAGTCGCACGCCTTCCTTAGGGGACTCCTGTGAGCCACTGTGCACAGCACGCGGCCCCCACGTGGCCCCGCAGGGCCTCAGTCCGTCCCTTCCCCTCTGGGAGAGGCTGCAGGTTTCCAGAGCCTGGGGGGCCTGGGAGGCAGGGCCGGTGTGAGCTGCTGCGTGTTGAAGGCTGCTGGAGGAGTGGCAGCCACAGAGGCCCGCGCTCCAGCAGCCGGCACCGTCCCCAGGTTCCCGAGGGCAGAGCCACTGCCGCCGGTGCCACGCAGAACCCAGGCGGGCTCACGGGGCAGCCAGCAGGGACAGCTCAGGTAACACGGGCGGGGGCATCTCCCTGGGCACCTCTGACGCTCATCAGGGGATGGCCTGGGGTGCGCCTCGCTGGCGGGCGGCCTGAGGACTAAACAAGCATGGGAAAGTGCCCAGCCAGTGCCTGGGAGGCCCTCCTGGTGCCTCAGTTTACCCCTTCACGCATCCTCACCAGCCACCTGAGATGGGCAGGGGAGGGGCTCTGCCGGGTGTGGCTCCTCCTGGGGATCAGGATCTCAGCCCCGCGAGGCCCCGCGCCAGGCGGCCGGCAGAGAGCGCGGCGAGGAGTGGGTCCTTTTCTCCAAGCCGGGAGGCATCGGGGTCCTGACAGTGGGTGCAGGAGTCGCGCGGTGGTTCTCCAGCTCCAGAGAGCGCAACGGCAAACGCAGCCTCCCGCAGCTGCCTCCCCAGGTCCGGGCTGGGAGGTCTGAGGGGTCCCGGGAGCGGCGTGGCCAGTGAGGCCTCTGGAGCTTCCAATCTCAGGTTGAGAAGCGGCGCCATGAAACACGTTGAAGAGTTCGGGGATCGCGACTGCACCGCCCGTCAGTCACCACCTGCAGGCCCCGCACTTGCGCCAGTGATCGTGACCGTGGGGAAGGTCCAGATTTGCCGTATGTCGGCTCTGTGGCCTGAACGATGCGTCCTACAGATGAAGATGTCTCTCCTCTTCCTTCAGGCCCCTGCCCTCCACAGCGTCCGCTTTTCAGCTCTGAAGTTGTAAAATGTCTCTTCTCACCCTTCAGGCCACTGCCTTCCACGGCCTCTGCTTTTCAGCTCTGAAGTTGCATTTTTCCTGCACACACAGGCCACCATCGTCTGGAGCTTTTCGGGTAAATGAAATAAAAAATCATGCTGGGTTAATAACACTGTGGGTGAAAATTCTGAGATATGACGGGGTTACTTCTGCAGCTCACACACCAGCCCTGAGGGCGAGTCCAAAAGGCAGTTTCAAAAGTGCCGGAAGCCCGGAGCGCGGTTGGTTTGACCGAGCGCCTCCGAGGCTGCTGAGGCCGGAGAACGCCCATTAAAGAAACACTGGAAATCTGTGGATCAACAATCACAGGAATAAGGCTCTTTTCCAAAACTTCGACCTTGTTTCTAGGCAGCCGGTGACCCTCCCAGCCTCCAGGCACGCCATGAAAAGTGAAATGTCTCTGGCTCTGAAGGACTTCCGAAGCAAGACAAGGGCCCCTTCGCCCCAAGATGCTGGGAACTTGGATGGGATTAGTCCCCGGCTAATACTAGAAAATGCATTTTTAGATCAGGAGGAGAGGGTGTGGGAGGAGGTGGGAGGGAGGGTTGGGCGCTGGAGCAGTGCTGGTAAATGTTTAACAACTGGCTCTCCAGAAAAAAAAAAAAGCACCTATGAGAATACGTGTTATAAATCTTTGATAGAAAGGAGGCAAGTGGTGCAACTTCCAAATAGAAAGCCACCTGTGACACTCACTGCACACTCCGAGCAGCCAGCACCTGCCCACAGGTCATTTTGGTGGTTTCTGCCCAGCTTTCACATCTGCAGACAGTCTCTGGGTGCAATCCTCCCATGGTGTGGTAACCGGGCTACTTTCAACCTGCTCACTTTTCTCCATGCGTTCATTGTTAAGCTGATATGATCTCCTAAATGGTTCCTCATATCACCTCATACACACTTCATTGATTAAATGAAAGCTGTCAGTTTCAGCACTACCAACTGTGAGTGGCCCACTTTAGCTTCTTGTGTAGTTGCAGGGGTGGGAACAGTCCTTAATTCTGCATTTTCTCACCATGGCTGTAACTAACCAGTTTGAAAAATTCCCCAGAAGTTACTAATTGGCTCTTAGGAGCTGGTGCAAGCAGGATCCAGCACATCCTGGGATGGGTGGCCAGGCCGGGACCAGCGCTGTTATAGAATGCCCTGGTCTATTTAGGGTTGCCCCATTAGAAATTGATTTTGGAATTTTCTGGACTCCTTTGATCTTGGAGATGACATCACCGATGTCCAGGAGATGAGGAGCACGTTGGGTAAAGTGCACATTTCAGGAAGTTGGATGGATTTAGGACATCAGAAAAAGATTGACCTTATGGTTCCCTTTCTAGTTTAACTCTTCACAATTTTTAACTGAAAGGGCCTTCTTACGATTTAGAAAGAGAATGGACCCATCGGGGGCCCCTTTGACCCGGTATGAATTGTTCAGCTCATTTAATAAATATTCATATTGGAACTAACTCCTCTGGCATTCGCTTTAATCTTTCTCTATTAAAAAGAATTCCACAGCACTCA